AAAACAAACAGATTAAAAACTGCAGCCTGTAATTAACCCACCCCTCTGAGCCAAAAAGTTTGAAGTACAAACACCTGAGTTCAAATTATACCACACAAAGAACCAAATATAGACACGGTAAATTTTGTTTCAGAACTCTGGAACAAAAAGGTGTACTAATCTTGTGTGGGAAGGAAAATAAAAACACATGCACACACATACACAGGAAGAGATACAGATATACTTGCTTTAGAGAAACCCTAAAATGGATATTACGGATTTATAGAACAAATCTATTTGGGACAATTAACGTTACCTACCTTTTAGAAGATTAACTCTATATATGATGATATGTTAAAGCAGGAAAGAACACAGTTGATAGCCAAAAGCAAAGAAGTCAAGTTTGTAAACTTCTGCTGAAAGCCTTGCTATGAATATGATTTTAATTATAAATATCTTTCCCCCAGAATGACAGAATCATTAATTTTTTCATTTTTCTATTTCTTGCATCTTGCCATTAAAACACTTCTCTATTGCTACACGTTATAGTTTATATTTGAAGATATAGTATATGACTCCGTGTGATGTAGAGAAAATACATATTTAAGTTCTTTCACATTAATAAGTGTACTGAATTAGCTGTCTCATGTAATTGTTAGCTATTTTAAATATTGTCTTCTACACTGATTTTTTTAAATAAATATTTACATATTTGAAAATATGAGTGATAGTCTAAAATTTTTTAAAAAGAACAACTCATACTTGAAGTTCATGGGATAGTGAGTTATTTTGGGTTAGGGAAGAGAATTTATTGTGCTGTCAGCACTTTAGCACAGGACTCTTCTACTGTGGGCATCCTTGTGGCCCGGAGGGGGATAGCTTCCGAATGAAAACTGATATTTGACGATTCAAGAATAGATTTCTTATGAATAAAGCAAACCAAACCAAAACAAGATCTTCCGTTTGTGGCCTTACCACACTCTTCCTTCTATATGATTTCCATGTTATTTATGTGGTTTCACTTTGTTTTTTTCAGGTCTCTGTTGAAATGTTTACCTAACAAATGTGGCCCTGCCCGACAGTTTTCATAAAGTGGCGCTCGCGTTCAGCCATTCCTTTCCCTGCAGGTTCTCCTTACCTGTCTTCACAGTGTGTACAGCCGCTTGATGTGTGGTGTATTTGTCCGTCTCACCTGGTGGATGCAAGCTGCACAGGGAAGGGGGTCTGTGGCTGTGTTTGTACAGCGTGGAACAGTAGACTCCCAGGAAATAGCTGTTGAGTAGAGGGTAAATGCGGCTCCTTTAAAAGTGATTTTTGATTTACCTTAAGGTTTTCAGTATTATCTTTATCAATAGCTTTCTAATTTTATGATAGTTATTTTGAGTACTAATCTTTTCTTGCACAGCCAGTTTTATTCTGAAATTAATAGTATACTTAGGGATGGAAGGGAGAAGTTGCGGGCTTGGCTAATTGGAGCGAATCCAAAGCTTGATTTGGTCTGGGAATGTGTTATGTGATACTTTGGAGAAGAGATGGTGAAGACCTCAGGTCTGTTTTTTACTCCTTCATTTTCCGTCACTGTATTTTCCTTGGGCAATATGTTAACATTTGTGTTCATTCTCTGAGCTGACTAGAGAGAGAAAATTGGAGGAAATTAAAGTTTGGAAAATTTTAATCTTTTTGATATTGGTGGGTCCTCGGCAGTGTGAGTCCAAACCTTCCAAAGTACTTAGCAGCGCGTCAGGCCGGGAGATCAGGGAAGGCTTCGCGGGCGTCAGGTGATGATTTGTGCCCAGTGTTGCTGACAAGTGGACGCCTAGTGTTTTTAGCATATTGATTGATTCTGTTTCAGTTGTTTAAAAAGTAGACTTCTTAAAAAATCGTGCAGTCTTTAACTTACTTTTCAAAGTCTGTGCAAAAACAAATATAGGCCCTCAGAAAAATGTATTTTCATGTACACATATATACTCAAATAGGAGCTGAAAAAGCAATGTAAACGAGTTGGTAGAGCAGTTATTACATACAGATCATGGTCTCTGTTAGAAAAGATCACGTAGGGACTCTTTCTCATTCTTTTCATTTGCTTCTCCACCGGCCACCTCTACCCACTATTTGAGAGACTATTAATATACAACTTTTTTTTTTTTTTTTTTTTGCAGTGCTGGGGATTGGACCCCAGGCCCTTGTATATGTCAGGCAAGTGTTCGATAACTGAGTCGCATCCCTAGCTCCATACATAACATCTTACATGCAACTTAAAATGGATCTTTCATGGGGTAAAACAACAACAGCAAAACTAACGTAAGGTAATTTTATGGTGTAGGTTTAGCCGGGTGTGGTGGCACATGCCTGTAATCCCAGCATTTGGGAGGCTGAGGCAGGAGGATCGTTGTGAATTCAAGACCAGCCTGGGCTACAAGGCTGTGAGCTCAAGGCCAGCCTGAACTTCATAGTGAGACCCTGTCTCAAAAAGACACACACACAAAAAGAAAAAAAGACCTTGGTGTAGGTTCAATCATTTTGAAATGTATTTCCCTTTCCAATTTCTACAGTTAAATCTCATCACCTTTATTGATATTCCCCTTTGGCTGTTGACCTGATTATTTTTGCAAGGATGCAGTTTTATTAAAGTTTGCAATTTTATTTATTTATTTATTTATTTTTGGTACTGAGAATCAAATTCATGACCTCACACTTGCCAGGCAGGTGCCGTGCTGCTGAGCTGTATCCCACCTATTTATTTATTTATTTATTTTTCTTTTTTTCAGATTAACATAGTGCTTTATTTAAGCTGTCTGTACAAAGGAGAACAGTGTGCATCCCTATCATATTTGTGTAAAAATACTAAGGATGTACAGTGTACAAATCAGTTTCTTGTACTTTCTTCACATCCTTGTAGGTCATATACTTAAGGAAGTAAACAGTTTTAGTATGATTAGCAGTAACAGCAATACAGTTTCCTGGGTTCATAGTTGCATGTGTTTAAAATCCTTACCCAGATGACCAAATCTTTCAGGGATCTAATATTTATTTATTTTTGAGAAAGGGTATCATTATATAGCTCAGCCTGGCCTTGAACTCACTGTGTAGCCCAGGCTGGCCTCGAGCTCATGGTGGTACTCCTGCCTCAGCCTTCTGAGTGCTGGAATACAGTTGTGTACCACTATGTCCCACTCTGGAATTTTATTAATACTGTGACTTTTGATAGTGTTGTCTGTTATTTTTAGTTTTCTCTGGTGATTTAAAAGGTTTTTCCTTTTTCCTCCTACACTTTCAGTTGGTTTCTATTTTCCCTTTATCTCAGTTGAATCTTTAAAATGCTATATAATTTTGGCAATTATTTGTTCATTTTCAAGAGACATTGTTGTACAGTGGTTTTGGAACCAGGCTACCTGGGTTTGAGTCTTAGAGTATCGTGTACTACTGGTATGGTTTGGCAAACTGTTAAGCACCTGCCTAATGTGGATAATAGTGTCTACCTCTTAGGTTGTTATCAATATTAAATGATATAATAAATGTAGAGTTCCCAGAATAGGGTCAGACACATAGTAAGCAGTGAGTATTAACTATTGTCATTCTTTTCTGCAACAAGAGATTTATTTGTATCTTACGTAGCATCGTCATACTTTTTTCGTAATGGCTTAGCATTTCAGTGAGAGGAAGATCAAGCTACTTTGAATAAATTATGGTATATTCATACAGTAAATTTTTATAGAGCCATTAACAGGATGAGATAGATCTACATATAATGACCAGAAATGCTACTAATGATATTTTTAGAGAGTACTTTGCAGTCCCATATCCATATCACAACTTAATGCTTACAGTTTGTACTTACATTAAGACAGGCCTTTACAAACAAGAGAAATTATTGGGAAAGGTAGAGAGGAGACATGAACTCTTGAATTTCTTACTTGTATGATTTTAAAGTGTGGGATCATGAGATCATACACATATCCTTTTTCTGCCTTTGAATATTTTTAAAACTTTGAAACAAAACTTTTTTTTTTTGCTTGTGTTGAGTAATTTTCTGCTTGCATTGAGTAGTAAAACTTTTGCTTGTGGTGAATTCTAATGCAAGTTTATGTACTACTTCAAGTAATGTATTTTTAAACCAGATTTTTAAGGCTTGCTTGTCTGATGAGTTGAGACAAACTGTTATTACTTTCAATTATTTCTTTGTGTGGGTGGATTAAAAGTAAATTTTTTGGCCATAAAAATGCTCACTCATACACAGGTATACTCAGGTACATGTACATGGCCTTATAGTGCTTGTGTTACTCTGGAACATGACAGAAATTCTCAGAAGGTAAAAACGAAAAATAAGGCAAAAGAATAAAGGAGGTGTACACACATGCGTAAATGTGCATAGCACTTTTCTTACATTTGTGAAGTAGTTGCAAGATAGCCAATACCGTTACTGAAATTTGAGTACTTTTTAGTGTTATTCTGTATGTGTGGATGCCCAGATGGTGTGTACACCAATATATGTGTTCCTTCCTTTTTGATTGAGAGTGTACAAATCTTGATTTGTCAGTCCACCGTAAGTTGGAGAAAATAACCTTGAATTGTTCTGTGACTGCTGTTACCTTCCCTGTGGTCTTGGGGGTCAAACCCGAAGACACATAAGCTAGGCTAGTGTCCGCCGCGGAGCCACACCCACGGGCCTTAACTACGTTTAAAGATAGTATTTGTTTTCTGACTCTTCATTCCCTTGAGAAGTTGTATTTGCTGCAGTAAAACCAAGAACCCTGATCTGCATATCTTTGTGGTTAGTTGGTATAAAGCCAGTATTTAAATTTCTTTGAAGTCTCTCCGTGCCTGGTATCACAGGATGAGGAGCTCTTCGGGAGGGGAATGTGAATGTGGTTTTTGGTCTTGTGCATTTTGCGACAAAGGAATTCCCCTCTGAGTCGGCTGCTCCCCTGAAGCCCCTGGAGCCTCCGGCTCAAGCAGCACAGTCTGTGCAGTGTCCCTGACGTCATCCAGCGTATGCATAAGCCCTGCTATTGTCTTACTGCTCCAGCAGGGCTGGAGATTGCAGTATTCGCTGTTGCTGCTGCACCCAGCCCTGCCCCTGCTGCTACCTGGTCTTGCTTCACTGCATCCCAGAAGAGCCACGTTGGCCTTCCTTTGCCTAGTGGATTTTTCAAAAGCAGCTGTTCGGTTTTGGGTGCTGTCGGAGACCTTGCTTTTCATTCACCGGGAGAAAACTGAAGCTCATGAGAGGAGAATCTGGCAGCTGGACACAGCTTGGACTGCATTGTCTGGCTTCATGACCCCTGCTGTGTAGTCAGCTCATCTCTTCACTCTCACAGGCACACTTTCTTTGCTTTTTCTTCTGTCCTTTTTTTCCTTTCTTCTAAAAATTTTTTTTTAAACCAGCTTGTGGAGCCAGCCATGTTTGGCACTGAATCTTCATGTAAGTAAATGGATTGCACTTCTCTGCTCTTTGGAAATCTGCTTGCTGTCATGGTTTCATTGGCTTGGAATTCTTATCACTTTGCCTTAGGTCATTAATGATGTCAGTGTTTTGGGTCTAAATACAGGGAGATTAGTCTCAGAGAAGTATTCCCCTTCCCGGGTTATTCATTCCCAGGGCGAGGGGATGGCGAGGTGGTCAAAACGGGGCCTCAAGGAGGGAGGTGAGACGACAGGGTCCAGGCAGCTCCCTGGGATGTGCGAATTGGTGGGATGAGGCCTGTCACTGATCTGTTGTTGTGGGCTCAGAACGGTGCTCAATCCTAAAATAGGTCCTGGAAAGACCCGAGATGATAGTGTTTATAAAAAAGGAAGGGCTTACTTTTTTCATCTAAGAAAGAAAAGGATACCATTATACACTCTTCATATTTTTACAAAAACAGATTAAATGCGTAGATTAAACATAAATAGCTTTATTTTTGAAGATTGATTTGTTTTCCCAGGGGCTTCAGTTTTATTATGTTGATTAGCCTCACAGGCCGGCAGCACCATATCTATCTTAAAACTTATACAATGAAATTGCTGTGGTGCAGAGAAGGCCTTGCACAATGGGCTGAGCTGGACAGCAGTTGTAGACATTGGGATTTAAAATATGATAACTGGCTTGATGATTACTTACTGTTGGCTACAGACTAATGTAACTTGTCAATGCAGTTGTACAGGCTTTGCAGAATATTTTGTCATTATCTATAAACAAAGGTGACAGTTGAGAATTTCTGAAGAGACTTAATCTACTGGCCTAGGGCATTAAATAGCAACATTACATTTGGGGAATTGATTACTTACGGACTTGTAATGTGCTTTTACTTTCTGATCTTAGGTGTCAGTGTGACTATTTGTGTAGCTAATGATTGTTGTGGAATAGCAGTATTTCAAGACAGCTAATAATTTTGAGTTCTTTTGTGTCTTGATTGGCTTTTCTAAAAGGTTATTTTTATTGTTTCATTATGAAAGCTTCTCATATCTGAAATTAACACGCTGCTCAATAAAGTCAAAAACAGAGTAATGGTGAGCTGTAATGTCTCATTCAGCATATGACAGTATTGTTTCCCTAACAATTTAAAAATAACTTCTGAATTCACTCACTAGTCCATTTGGAATTATTGTCACCCAAGATACAGAAGTGGATCAATAAGTGGCAGACACCTCCTAATTTCATTTCAGTCGTGGAATTTTGTGTATGTAGGAACCTAGGTATTTATACTGTATACTGTAGGAAAGTTAGTTCTGTCATTTTATTTAGGACTTAGAAGCTGAAACTCAGTGTGAGAGTCTTTGGATTCCTGAGACCAGGGCTGCTATCCTTGTTTGGCCTGTTTTAATCTAAGCAGACACACAGCCTTTCTTGATCCTCAACCTGATCTTTTGATAGTATTCATGTAGTATGTCTGAAAAATGCTAGTTGTTTTTGGTGTCCATAGCTACTAGATTAATGAACAGAATAGAACACCATTCAGAGGACAGAATATTATCATGCAGATATTTAGTGCTTTTTGGTTTAACTGAGTATTAACTATTTCTTGCTTGTCATTAGACTCTCATAGATTCATACTGTTAAGGGACATTAGAGGTGGACAATGGATGCCTTCTTTAGATAAGATATTTTAAATTTGTACTAAGAGTTAGGAAGAGTGTGTTTTTCAAGCATAGCTTTCTAGGCCTTTGATTTCCACCTTTTGGAGGTTATTTTATAGGCTTGAAACTATGTTTAGTACATGCATAAAAAGGTCACATTTGAAATTCTAATTAGTTTAAAGGGGTTTCCCTACCACCTATGGTGTTTTTACTAAACTGTCTTAAGAAATAGTTTAATTATCTACTCTGTATGCAGTACAGTAAGTCCTGGAAAGTTAATTTTTTTCTAACTTATGCTAAATATTTTGCGATTCTTATTATTATTATTATTATTATTATTATTATTATTATTATTATTCTTGATTTCTGGTTATAGTGCCTATCTGTGTAAGATTCTTTTATTTTTAAATTGAAGTATGATTTATGTACAGCAAAATGCTTAAGGGCGCATTGAGTGCATTTTTGCCATGTTTACACCTGAGGAACCCACTATCCAGATCAAAACAGAAAACATTTCCATTTCCCCAGGAAGTTCTGTTGTGGCCCTTCCTAGTCAATATTTCTTCTCCTGTGTGCCGAAAGGGACTACCAGTCTGACTTTTGATGCCATAGATTTACTTTGTAAGTGATCCTTTTTTATTTTCTTTCTTTTCTCCTTGCTCTTTGCCTACAGCAGAGGGAAATGTCTTCATTTTCAAATATTGGCTTAATTAAGTTGATTTCATCTTTCTGACCATTAAATCAAGAATTTGCAGTAAACTGAGTATCATACAATATGTTCTGTATCAGAGAAATAATATTGCTTGACTTAAATATTCCTCCCTCTTAAAAAAGTCTTTCAAATCACAAAAAATTTGTATACCCTACTTCATCAAAGTTAAAGTATGACACAGGTATGGCAACAGAATTTATGCCTGACATTATTTTAGTCACTACATCCAATGGCACCAGTTTTCTGTCATTTAATAGATCTAAATCTCCCCTAGTTTTATAGATCAGCCGTAATTTATTTTGACCTTGCTTTGAATTGGAAATGTGCTCGAGTATTAGTGGGCTAATGATTACAAAGTAGGAAATGTGGTTAAGTGTGAGGTGTGCTTTACCTCCTTTGGTTAACATCCTTATATATTTCACTGAGCTTTTCCTTTACTGACATTTCCCAAGTGTAGAAATGAAAGTAGTACGTCTCTTCTTTATCTACTTTGAAGAAATGCAACTTTAGTTTCTGGGGTCAGAGTAATTTACGTAGAAGAAGAAAGTACTATCAATAAAGTTTATTGAAGAAGGTGTTCATTAAAATACATATTTGGGGTACTTTATTTCATGATAGTTTATATTTAAGACAGTTGAATTCCTCAGTATTAAAAAAGTTTCTTTCTAAAACAAATTTCATCTTTTTTTGTGGAATAAGGAAAGCTGGTTAAGGGAGACAAAATATTCATAGAATAAGGAAAACTGAGTTTGGTTATGTCCTCTTTCATAAAGCTATTCTTCAAAGAGTAGACATTGATGAATATTTACTGGGCTCAGTTCTCCTTCTTTCTCCTTTCCCATGCTTTACTTTCTCACCTCTCCAGGGTGCTACTGAAGGGTACCATGTAAGGTGTGCTGTGGTGGGAATTGTGTCTGGTATAACGCATTAATATGTCATCTCAAGACCTGCCTTTTTAGCCCAATGAGGTGCGTAATACATTACCTGCTGAGAAACAGTGTGTATCTGGGCAAGCAGCATCATTTTATTCTTCCCAGATTTTGCTGTATTTGCAATAAATTAAAGAGAACGTGTGAGCAGCTTTAATGGAGGAGAGAAGTCACTGAAGTACCAGCAGTAGTGTCAGATCCACCAGCTGAGCTTCGAGGAGACGGAGCAGTGACAGATGAGCGGTCAGATCTAGAGTTCTCCCTAGCTTTGGTATGCCTGGGGCACACATCTTCCCTCTCTTTCTTTGGGCTCCCGCACCACTTTGGATCAGCAGCCTGAGTCTGAGGTAGCTTTGAGTGTGTGCCGCTAAGTGACTTGTTTGTGATGGGCACTGGAGGCCCAGCAGTTGCTTTTATTGTCATCACTGATGAGTGCAGTAAGTTGGGACTGTCAGCTTTTCAGTTCTTTACGTCTTTAATCTGGCTGTTAGTATTTAGCAGTGTTGGTTGGATTTTAGATGCTTTCATTCGATTTAAAGCAAAAGAGACATCCTTAAATGTGTATATGAAATCTCTCCTCTAGGCGTGCACTTAGAGAATTACATGTGAAAAAGTCATTGTTACATGTTTTTAGTTCAGTAAGCATGCCACGAACTGTTAAAGTTACAATAAGAAAACGTAAGTATGGGTCGCAGGTTTTGTGTTGGAATATGGTTGTATTAGAGCTTGGGGAGTTGAAGACCCTGTGTTTTGTACTTGTCTTACTGTGTCATCCTTCTGACAACATAATTTTGACATTATAATCTTTAGAATCAAGAGAATATTTAAAAATAAGATAGAAATAATTTTTTTCTGGATATTTATATACTTATTTCACTAGTACAGAAATGGAATAAAAGTATCCAATAGTTTCTTGTTTCCATTTCAGTGTTTAGTCTCCCTAATTATTAGTCTGTAATTTGTCCCGCAGAAACTACATGAATTTTCAGTGATTTGTTGTTTTCATTGTCACAACGGACTAGATTCATATCCTGTATAAACTCTGGGGTAAGGGGTGGGGGGGTCCATCAGTGAAAATTACCATATATGGAAACTCCTCATAGAATCTCCATGGAATTACACAGGATGTAAATAGGACTCATTGTTGTTATGGATTCTGGCCTAGAAAAGCCACTGATCACATGTGTGTTTTTAAAACAATAATAGTCACTGCATTAAATACTTGAAATACTGTTAAACTTTCAATATGATATTTGGGACACTAGACTGTGAATTTTGGGTCATTTTTGCTTGTTGCCTTTTTAAAAAGTGTTGATTTTCCTCCATTTTTTCCTTATTAGTGGAAAACATTAATATACTTTTTTCTGGTATGGGAGATTAAAGGCAGGGCCTTTATACTGAGCTACATCCCCAACCCTTTCCTAATGGTTTATTTTGAGACAGGATCTTGTTAATTTGCTGAATTGCCTAGGCTGGGTTTGATCTTGTGAACCTGTGGCTCAGTAGCCTGAAGTGCCGGATTGCAGGTGTGCACCACCATGCCTGGCGAGTAATGTGTTTTTAGCTAGAAAATATACAGACTGTGTTAATTGTAAGTCATACTTACTGTGCTAGCATAGTAAATTGTAAGATTTTAAAATCATGTTATTTGTATTAATCATGGAGTCAGGTGATTATGAACTGGGAAACAAAGAGACAGCTTAGTGTATGTTGTAGAAATGGCGG